ATAGATAGATAGATAGATAGATGATAGATAGATGATAGATAGATGATAGATAGATAGATAGATAGATAGATAGATAGATAGATAGATAGATAGATAGATAGGTAGATAGATAGATAGATAGATGATAGCTGGATAACAGAACAAGAGATTGGTAGATAATATAGCTGTAGATTTCACTGTTTTGTTTCATGATCTCTGTGCCTCCCTCTCAGTCTCTTTTTGTCTCTCTGTCTCTTATCTCCACCTGTCTCTGTATTCCCTCTCACTGTTTATATTTTGGCTATCTTTGCCCCCCCCTCTCTCCCCCTCTCCTTCTTTACCCTCTGGTTTCACTCTGCCTCCCCTTCTCTCCACCTGCCCCCATTACCAAAACCTGGGGAAGGAAAATTCAACAGAATATGCTGGAGGGATCCCACTCTTTCCCAGCTCCTCCCTCTTCCACTTTGCCTCCCCCCCTCCCAGGCGCTGCAGCTGCCATCGCTATGGATGGTGTGACTACGGCCATCTTCCTCCTTCTCCTGGCTATCATCTGTTTGTCCCTGACCTTCACGGCATCGGACAAGGGCCAGCTGCCCCCAGGACCCAAACCTCTCCCCATCTTGGGAAACCTGCTGCAGCTTCGCTCTCAAGACTTGCTGACTTCCCTCACCAAGGTGCAAGGGTCTTGCCTTGGGAGATGGGCAATGGGGAGGGGAAGGGTTCCCATGGCTGTCAAGCCCCCCATCAACTCTGTCTTCTATCTCCAGCTGAGCAAGGAGTATGGCTCGGTGTACACGGTGTACCTGGGGCCCAGGCGGGTGGTGGTCCTCAGCGGGTACCAAACTGTGAAGGAGGCTCTCGTGGACAAAGGGGAAGAGTTCAGTGGCCGTGGCTCATACCCCGTCTTTTTCAACTTTACCAAGGGCAATGGTAAGGCTGTTCCCCATCGCTTCCTCCTCCAGCCTTTTTTAGGGGTGGGGGGTGAAGGTGGGAGACTGTCACCTTGATAGCATTCAGAGCTACAGATCTCATCGATGACATCAAAAGTGGTGCAAAGTGAAGCAGTCCTGAGCCCAGGCAGGGTCTGCCCCACCTTCTCCACCTCCAAATCCAACCAGCACCTTGAACTGAACCAGCATACCAATTCCTACATCCTCCCAGTCCAACCCCATCTTCACCCCAATCTTTATTCTATCTCAACCACATCATTCAATTTCCAGTTCAGTGATGTGGCCAAGTTACAGACCTTTGTCCCTATTTTCTACCTGAACCCAACCCCAGTCTCCATCAATCTACCTCCACATTCTCCATTTCAAATTCCACCTCATTTCGGGCACAGTGGCTTGTTTGTATGATGTTTGAGGCAGGATCTTGCAGCCCAGAATGGCCTCAACTTTGACATGTATATGAGGAAATCTTGAACTTCCTGTCCTCCTGCCTCCACTTCCTGAGTACTGGGATTACAGGCATCTACCATCACACCCAGTTTATGTAAGGCTGGGGCTCAAACACAAGGCTACATCATGCTAGGCAAGCATGCTCTGCCAAATGAGCTAACCTTCCCCCTTGTGTTTTTGACAGGGTCTCCCTAGTACCAACCCACCTGGAACTTACTATGTAGACCAGGCTGGCCTCCATCTCACAGAGATCCGCCTGTCTCTGCCTGCTGAGGACTGGGATTAAAGGCACACGCCACCAGGGCTGGTCCTTCCCCCCACCCCCATGGGGCTGGAGAGGTGGCTCAGAGGTTAAGAACACTGCCCGCTCTTGTGGAGGACCCTAATTCAGTTCCCAGCACTCACATGATGGCTAACTACTGTCCATAACTCCAGTTCTAGGGGATCCAACACCCCCTTCTGACCTCCACGGGCATTGCACGACGCAGGCAAATGGACACACATGCAAGCAATACACTCATACACATAAAAAAAAAAAAGTAAAAAAATTTTTTGACCTTTTCGAGACAGGGTCTCCCTGTAGCCCCAACTGGCCTGGAACTCTCTATGTAGACCAGGCTGGCCTCAAACACACAGAGATCCGCCTCCCTTTGCCTCCCAAGTGCTGGGATTAAAGGCGTGCGCCACCATGCTGGCTAAATAAAATATTTTTAAAGGACAGGGTTTCATACATTCTAGGCTGGCCTGGCCTGGAACTTGCTATGTCGTCTTAACTCCGTTTCTACTCACAGTTCTGACTACATCTCAATCCAAGCTCCATTCCCACTAGGAACCCTCTCTCAAAGTCTGTGGGGTTTTGTTGTTTTTCTTGGGGGGAGGGGGGCCTAAGGGTTTTGGGGGGGGGGCGTTTGGTTTTTTGTTTGTTTGTTTGTTTGTTTTTTGAGACAGAGTCTCACTATGTAGCCCTGGCTGGCCTGGAGCTCCCCATGTAGATCAGGCTGGTCTCAAACTCACAGAGATCTACCTGCCTCTGCCTCTCAAGTGCTGGAGTTAAAGGCACATACCACAATATCTGGCCCAAAGCCTGTTTTTAACAGCCTATTCTCAAAGCCGTATGACTCTCTGACTGAACTCTACAGTCACCTATCACCCCAGCCCCAGCTGTATCTTCTATCCAAATCACCTCTGGGAGTTGCCAGACCGCAGTCCTCACTGGCAACCTTAATCCCACTACCAAGACTGGAGAGATGGCTTAGTGGCTAACAGCTCTCACAGAGGACCCAAACTGGGTTCCCAGCTCCAACGTCAGACAGCCCACAACCACCTGTAATCCCAGCTCCAAGGGATCTAATGCTCTCTTCTGGCCCCTCCAAGGGATCTGACGCTGTCTTCTGGCCCCCGAGGGCACCTGCATGCATGTGCTCCTCCTGTTCCTCCTTCTCCTTTTCCTTCTCCTGATGCATGTGTTATATGCATGCTCCTGTGTGTGCGCATATGTGTGCAGAAGTATGTGCATGTGCCTGTAGAGCAGAGGTGGATGTTAGGATATCTTCCTCATTCACTCGCCACCTTTTTTTCAATTGTGTGTGTGTGTGTGTGTGTGTGTGTGTGTGTGTGTGTGTGTGCATAATATAGGGGGTACACATATGTGGAGGTCAGAACAACTTTGTGGAATAAGTTCTGTCCTTCCACCTTTTTGTAGGTTCCAACAATTGAACTCACGTCATCAGGCTTGTATGGAAAGTACTTTACCTACTGGGCTATGTTGCCAGGTCTGATTCACCTTATTTTTTAGAGATAAAGTCTTTTCAGTGAACCCAGAGCTTGTAGATTTGGCTAGGCAGGCTGGCCAGTGAGCTCCAGAGATCCACCTGTCTCCACCCCCCTCCACTGTGATTGCAGACACGAAAAGCCATAACCAGCTTCTTATGCAATCCTAGCACTTGGGAGGCAGATGCAGGAGGAGCTTTGCAAGTTCAAGGTCAATCTGGTCTACATAGTCAATTCCAGGCTAGTCGGGGCTACAGAGAAAAGCACTTGAAAAAAGAAAAAAGAAAAGAAAAGGGAACATTTTCTATGTGGCTCAGTGAGTGGTAGAGTGTGTGCCTGGTGGTCTGTGAGGCCCTTGGTTCAATCAATTCTAATATCTAACCAAAAGATAAAGGAAGAAAAGAAAGAAAGAAAGAAAGAAAGAAAGAAAGAAAGAAAGAAAGAAAGAAAGAAAGAAAGAAAGAAAGATGCGAAAACATCCAAAGACTATAGAAAAGCCCAAAGTCCAGGCTTGCTCTGGGATGAGTTCCCAGGGTCCCCTTATTTATTTTTCTTGTTTACCTCTCTTGTGCATTCAGCAGTCAACAAGCAATCACCAGCAAGGTCAGTGTGATGCCAAATACAAGTAGTCACAGTGCCCAGGTGACCAGGACCTTAAAAGGGAAAACAGAGGCCAAAGAAGGCACCTGATCTAGCCTGGAGGGTCAGGAAGGGTTTGCTGGAAGAATCTGGGGAAGCTCTAAACTTAGTCTTTCTCCTGGCAAACCATTAGGAAAAGGGGCAATTCGGGTGTCAGTGGTCTCAGATGAGTTGTTGGTTGGGCTTGCTGCTCCTCTTCCCCCCTAGGCCTTGCCTTCTCCAATGGAGACCGATGGAAGGTCCTCAGAAGGTGGTCTATCCAGATTCTACGGAACTTTGGAATGGGAAAGAAGAGCATCGAGAATCAGATCCTGGAGGAAAGCAGCTTCTTACTGGAGGTGCTGCGGAACACAGAAGGTCAGAGTCTCTGAGCACAGGCCGCGCTCCAATTCACACCCAGAGGCCCTTGTGGGAACTCCTAGAGGCCCTTGTGGGAACAGTGCCCCCTGGAGGTGGGTCTGCATAGGCGCTCTACCTCTCCTTGATGTACATGAAGTTGGGTGGTGTTGTCTGTGGGTGGTTATCATGGTGATGTTCTCAAAAAATCACCTAAACTGGACCTTGACATAGCAGGTAGTATATGTCTGTAATCCCAGCATTTAGGAGGTGAAGGCAGGAGGCTCAGGAATTCAAGGTCATCCTGTCCTAAATAATGAGTTTGAGACCAGCCTACATGAGACCCTGTCTCAAAACAGTGAGGTTCAAGAGATGGCTCAGAGGTTAAGAGCACTGATTGCTCTTGCAGAGGACCTGAGTTCAGTTCCCAGCACCCATATTGGGTGCTCACAACCACCTGTAACTCCAGTTCCAAATATTCCAGGGCCTTCCTCTGGCCTTGATGGGCACCTGCAGACATGTGCACATACACATATGGACACACACATATAAGTATGCATAAAAATAAAAAAATAAATCTTTTTTAAAACATTGAATCACCTGTGGTGGTACGCACCTTTAATCCCAGCACTCGGGAGGCAGAGGCAGGTGAATCTCTGTGAGATCCAGGCCAGCCTGATCTACATAGCAAGTTCCACGACAGCTGGGGCTCCAGAGAAACCTTATCTCAAAAAAACCCAAAAACAGTAATAATAATAATAATAACAATAACAATAATAAAAACAGGGCTGGAGCAATGGCTCAGGGCTTAAGAGCACTGGCTCTTTGGAGGACCCAGGTTCGATTCCCAGCACCCACATGGCAGCTAACAACCTTCCATAACTTCAAGTCCAGGGGAATCCAACACCCTCTTTTGACCTCCGAGGGTATGGCATGACACAGGTGCACTTACATGTATGCAGGCAATACACTTTTACACATAAAATAAAAATAAGTATAAATAAATAAATAAATAAATAAATAAATAAATAAATAAACAAACAAACAAACAATAACAACCAACACAGAGCTGGAGCATGCGGCTCAGTGGTAGAGTGCTTGCCTAGCATGTACATGACTCTGGACTCCATCCCTAACTCAGAGAATAAAATTACAGTAACCCACAGCTCCAAGAATGTTGGGCATAGGGAGATTTGGAGAGCACGACAAAGGGCCATTCAGCATTCTGCACATTACTTTCTTCTGTAAAATGGGGCTGATCCGGGGACTTCATAGGTTTGAGTACATTTTATTTCTTCAGGATCTTGCTGTGTAGCGAAGGCTAGCCTTGAACTCATGATCCTCCTGCCTCAACCTCCTTCAAGGAGATGACTACAGCTAAAGTTCTTGGATCTGTGGGTGTTGTGTTATTTGTTATGCTCCAACATTGTGTTGCTGCGTCATGTATGTCACCTCTTCTGTTGTCTGGTTACATATGTAGTGAGTGACATCACTGTTCTGTACAGTCCGCTGGGCTGCTGTGTAACTACTGCTGTATCCTGTGCTACAGGAGGGTGGTACTGTATGCCGAGGTGATGCGTCAGTACGCTGCTACTATGTCCTGAAATGTTGCTCTGGTGACTATGGAGTCACTGTGAAATTGTGTGTGTTGTCACCTATTGTGGTTGTTTGGTTGGTTGGTTTGTGGGGTTTTATTTTTCTTTTGTTTAGACAGAGTCTCATGTAGTCCAGGTTGATCTCAAACTATAGAGCTGAGGATGACCTTGAATTCCTGATCCTCCTACCACCACCTCCCAAGTGCTGGGATTACAGGTATCAGCTACCAGGACCACTTGTCTATTTGCTTTTGAGACAGTCTTACTCTGTAGCCCAGGCTGGCCTCAAACTTGTAGCACCTAAGCCTCCCAGGTGCTGGGATTACGGGTGCTTGCCACCTTTCTTTTGGCTGTTTCGCAGGGTGCTTTGTTAAGCCTATGCTGTTTTGTTTTCTGACACCTAGTGATTTCGTGTGCTGTGCTGTGTGTAATGTAGTGTGTCCAAGAACAGCCTGTTCTGTTGCTGAGTAGTCTTCTTGTCAGCTCTGAGTTGTGGATTGCATTGCCAAACACTTTGATGGTGTCATACATACCTGAATGTGTTCTGGGCTACAAGAGAAGGTGCCACAGAGGGTCAATGTTGTGTAAATGAGAACAGGTAGACTGGGGTATTGCATTTGTTGATCTACCAGAACTCTGCAGCCAGAGCTGGGCACTGACCTCTCCACCCCTCCCTCTACAGGCAAGCCCTTCGACCCGGTGTTTACTCTGAGCCGCTCGGTGTCCAACATCATCTGCTCAGTGATCTTTGGCCGGCGTTTCGATTACGAGGATGACCGTCTCCTCACCATTATCACCTTCATCAACGACAACTTCAAAATTATGAGCAGCCCCTGGGGCGAGGTCAGCACTCGAGTTCAACGGGATGCGGTGGTGGTAGGGACAGAAATCCAGCCACGGGGGGGGGGGGAACAGCTGGAGCAGCGTGATGGTACCATGCCTGTAATCCCAGCACTCAGGAGGCTGAGGCTGGAGGATTGCTGCGAGTTCAAGGCTAACCTGTACTAAATACAGAGTACCGGGTCAGCCAGGGCTACAGAAACTGCATATCCCCCGCCCCGCCCCCCCCCCAAAAAAAACCGGCAGAAAAAGATGCAACTGGCCCTGCCCGGCCCTCCCTTCTGACCCTCCACCCCCAGTTACACAGTCTGCGCTTGCCCCTCCTCCCCATCCCCTCCCTTCCACTCTCTTCCCACCCCAGAACTTGATCCACTTGTCCGTGTGCCCCCAAGCACGCACCCTGCCCGCTTCACCAAGCCCCTCCAATTCTGCCTGGTCCCCAGATGTACAACATCTTCCCGAACCTTCTGGATTGGGTGCCTGGGCCGCACCGACGCCTATTCCAGAATTATGCGGGCATGAAAGATCTCATCGCCCGCAGCATCCGCGAACACCAGGACTCCCTAGACCCCAACTCTCCCCGGGACTTCATCGATTGCTTCCTCATCAAAATGGCTCAGGTAACCTTTGTCTAGCAACCGCCTCTCTCCATCTGGTCTGCAGCCCTCCAGTCCTCCCCGCCTCAAAACTTAACAGGGATCTCAGGTGGGCAGAGGAAGCCGGAGAAACTGCAATACCTGCTGGACTGCAGCCAAGTAGTTAACCCTGCACTGCTCTGCAAACCCGCTCCGCCCTTCATGTACCTTTGCTTCCTTGAAGAAAGGCAGTTAAACAGAGGAGGGACCCAACTGGCACCCATTAGCAGTTGGGCAGGTCTGGGGGACCGGGTGTGGCACTGGCTTAGAGTCGCACTTCAAAGTATAGGATTCTGGCTCATAGACGCACCCCTGAACCCCTACAGGAGAAGCAGGACCCCCTGAGTCACTTCCAAATGGACACCCTCCTGATGACCACACACAACCTGCTCTTCGGTGGCACCGAGACCGTGGGCACCACGCTGCGCCACACCTTCCTTATTCTCATGAAGTACCCCAAAATTCAAGGTATGCACCAACAGCAAGGGCCATGGTGCAGCCCTGCCCCGCCCAGAGGGTCCGATGGAGACCTCCTCTTATGCAACCTCTCACACAGCCACACAGGCCCATCCCATCCACTTGGCTGGCAGGGTCCATATCCCAGTGGTGGGGTCGCATCCTGATGACCTCTGTGTAATATTGGCCTTCCCCTCACCACAGGAGACCATCAGACCCCTGGGCCTCTTTCAAACCCCACAGGATCCCCAGCCAAGAGGACCTCAACCTCTCCTGCACTTCCAAACCTCTCCCTTCCCAAACACAGCCTCTTGCACAGCCCACCCACTGGATCATGAGCCTTAAAGCTTCTCCAGGAAATCTAATGAGGGGCCTGGGCTTCAAGCATCCCTGAAGCCCACCCACACAAACCCACACCCAGAAGCCCTTGTACCAACCAACATTTGCCCTCTCTGGAGAAGTCTGCCTAAACCTCATACAGCCCCTACAGGTGGGCTAACTAGCTAAGAGTTTTTTGTTTTCATTTTTATCTTATGTGTATGAGGGGTTTGCCTGCAGGTATGTAAGTGCACCTGTGTGTGCAATGCCTGTGGAAGCCAGAAGAGGGTGTCAGATCCCCTGGAACTGGGGTCAAGGAAGGGTTGTTAGCAACCATGTGGGTGCTGGGAACTGAACCCAGGTCTCGTAACAGCTGAACCATCTCTCCAACCCCTAGCTAGGAGCTTCTGAGTTGAGACAGAGTCTCATTTTGTTGCCCAAACTGACCTGGAACTTGCAGCTATCCTCCTGCTTCAGCTTCCCGAATGCTGGGATTACAAGCATGTGCCACAGCATGCAGTTAAGAAAGCTTTAACTAGACCCTTTCAACCATGCACACAGGCACAAACTTGTTCCCAGCTGCTCCTCTGGAACCATCCACTACCTTCCCCCTCCACCTCCAGCCCGTGTACAGGAAGAGATTGACCGCGTGGTGGGGCGCTCGAGGTCGCCAACGCTGGAGGATCGGGTGTCCATGCCTTACACGGATGCTGTGATCCACGAGGCGCAGCGCTTTGCAGACATCGTCCCCATGAACTTACCACACCGTGTCATTCGGGACACCCCTTTCCGCGGCTTCTTGATCCCCAAGGTGCGATAGGCCACTTGGAAAAGACTCTTGTCACTGGAAAGGGGTACCCTTGACCTTAGCAACCAACTCCCTAGGCTTTTAGTACCTAGCAATCCAGGCACTAATATCTGAGTTGGAAGGGGGTATGTTTGTTTCTATTATTACTTTTTGAGGCAGAGGTCTCAATAACCCAGGTGGGGTATGGACTTGAGCCCCTGATCCTCCTGCCTGCCACCTCCCACGTGCTGAGATTACAAGTGTGGGCCACCAGGCTTGATTTAGATATCTGAGATTCTTAAATCCAGAATCCCTTCCCAGAACCCCATTTCACATCAGAGGGGATTGGAGCTTCACACTCATTCCCTATCACAAGCCAGTACCTAGGACCCCTCTCCAGAATCCTCAGGCTTTGGGACTTATCCTAAAGATGCTGTAACCAAAAGACGTCTTTGGAGACCATCCTTCCCTTCACCGAAATTCTAAATCTACTTCCACAAGGGTGGGGCAGCAAGGGGCAAGGGGGAAACGGGGGTAGCCCCTATCCCTTTCTCAGACCTCTGCAACAGCTTCTAGCATGCATCACTAGGACCCCAGATAGAGTCTTTCCAAGCCCCTAGGAGTTCTTGTATTTGCAGGGTGGAAATCCGAGTTTGGGAAAAGCAATCAAACCAACTCCTCCCCCAGTGAGCCTACATCACTAACTGTCTCCTCACCCACACAGGACACAGATGTTATCACACTTCTTAACACCGTGCACTATGACCCCAGCCAATTCAAGACGCCCAAAGAGTTCAATCCCGAGCATTTTCTGGATGCCAATCAATCCTTCAAGAAGAGCCCTGCCTTTATGCCATTCTCTGCTGGTGAGAGACGGAGTCGTTCTTTTGAACTGTGGTCCTCAACCCACTCTCCAAACCCTCTTATTTCACCCTATCCCGTCCCACCCTCAGCTTCACAAGCAGAGACTCCCCTCTCCCAATTCTGCTCCAGTACAAGGAGGCAGAAGCCAGCAGTGGTCACTGGCAGACTCTCCACTAGATGGCGCAGTTGGTTCCAGCTTTTCTTAGCTCTACCTCGCTGCCGCCTACAGGGAGGTTGGGGGCGGGGTGGGGGTGTTACTGAGTAGGAGGAAAAACAAGAGATAATGACAGGTAAGTTACCATATTGCCTTTTGTGTGCCACATGCTGCGTCTGGGAAGAGTTGTAAGAGTAGTGGCTGAGATTTTGGGCTCTGTAGCCAGATCACACAGGGGTGCACCCCAGCTGGCTCTGTTCAGAGATCAGGATTTAAACCCAGGCAGTTATACCATCTTTCCCAAACTCTGGATGACTGCGTCGTTAATGCCGTCAACCGTTATCTTCACGTCCACATATTTTCCTCTGAGAATTTGGGGGTGCAGTCCCTCACTCTTATCTCACCCATCCTCTCCTCCCTCCCACACCCCCGCAGGACGCCGACTGTGTCTGGGCGAGCCACTGGCGCGCATGGAGCTCTTCCTCTTCCTCTCCTCCATTCTGCAGAATTTCACCTTGGAACCGACGGTGAAGCCCGAGGACATCGACCTGACCCCGATCAGCAGCGGTCTGGGCAAAGTGCCACGGCCTTTCCAGCTGAGCATACGCGCTCGCTGAGTTTGTTTAGTGAGCGGATCCTGGAGTCCCGTGCCCAGAATTTGCTCTGTCCCTCTTCCCGTTACACTGTTGTCAGCCCCAATTGGTTGACTGCTTTCTCTTCCCTAAACCCTGGGCCTGCTACATGCTGATCCCCTTGTCCCTCCTATCTTAAGCCAATCCGCATGGTGACAAAGGAAAAATGGCCGGCTTGTATCCACAGAACCTGCTTTGTGATATGTGCCCTTTTCTAGGCTTTTGTATCATTTCCTAGCAAATATATTGATAATAGAGTTAGCTGAATTAATGGAAGGGAAGAGTCCCCCACAGTGGGGAAGGAGGAGTGTAGCTGCACAGAGACACCAACATCCTAAGTCTGGCACCTGAAGTTCAAGGCCTGTCTGGGCTACAGACAGAATGAGTTCAAGGCCAACCTGGACAACTTAATTAGAACTTGTCTCATAATAATAATAAAATAAAAAATTTCAAGAGGTTTGGGTATATGTCACTGGTAGAGTCCTTGCCTTGGGTATACCATGGCCTAGATTCAGTCTCTAGCACTGCGCACAAAAAGGAGAATGTTCTGGAGAGCATCAGTTGTCAACCTGACATGTTTGGGAAGAGAGAACCTCGACTAAGCTTCCTCTAGCGGATTGACCTGTAGGTTTCTCTGTGTGCCACCCCTGGACAGGTGGTCCTGTGCTGTATAAGAAAAGTAGCTGAAGCCGGGTGTGGTTACACACACCTGTAGTCCCAGCACTCAGGAAGCAGAGGCAGGTGGATCTCTGTGAGTTCAAGGCCAGCCTGGTCTACATAGTGAGCTCCAAGCCAGCTAGGGCTACAGAGAGACCCTGTCTCAAAAAGACCAAAAAAAAAAGGGGCTGGAGAGTTGGCTCAGCAGATAAGAACACTGACTGTTCTTGCAGAAGACCTGGTTCAAATCCCAGCACCCACATAGCAGCTAACAACTGTCTGTAACTCCAGTTCCAGGGGATCCGACAGTCTCTTCTGTCCTCCACATGCATTGCACGACACGGGCGCACTTAACTACATGCAGAAAATTACACGAATACATATAAAAAATAAAAATAATAAATAAAAATATTTTAAAAAATAAAAAATAAAGAAAAGGAAAAAAAGCACACAAGCCAGTAAGCAGTGTTCCTCCATGGTCTCTGCTTCAGCTCCTACCTCCAGGTTCCTGCCCTGCATAAGTTCCTGTCTCCACTTCCCACAGTAATGAACTGTCCCTTCGAAGTCTAACATGTCATAAACCCTTTCCTCCCCAAGTTGCTTTTGGCCAGTTTTTATCATAGCAATAAAAAGTAACTAGGGGGGGCTGGAGAGATGGCTCAGCAGTTAAGAGCGCTGGCTGCTCTTCCAGAGGATTGAAGTTCATTTCTCATCACCCATGCGGTGGCTAACAACTGCCCATAACTACAGCTCTAGAAGATCCAGTGCCTCTTCTGACCTCTGCAGGCATTTCACACAGGGGTACACTTATATACATGCACACACAACGCTCATACACATAAAAATCTTTTAAAAAGAAAATAGGACAGAAGGGGACCTCCTAGCTGTGACTAATGACACCTTCAACTAAGGTGAGAAAAATTGTTTTCTGGAGACAGGCTGGAAGTGCAAAGGAGGCAAGGGAATGAAAACAGAGGGACAGAAATCAAGAAAAAGAAAAGGTATGGGGCTGGAGAGATGGCTCAGCAGTTAAGAACACTGGCTGTTCTTGCAGAAGACCCAGGTTTGAATCCCAGCACCCACATGGCAGCTTACAACTGTCCGTAACTCCAGTTCTAGGGGATCCAACAACCTCTTCTGTCCTCTGAGGGCAGTGCACGATACGGGTACACTTACCTACATGCGGGCAATACACACATACACATAAAATAAAAATAAATAAAATATTTTAAAGAAAAAAGTAGCCTCCAAGAAAGGTACTAAGCAGGAGGCTGTGTGGGATGGAAGCAAGGAGATAATGAGAGATGGGTGAACAGTTAACCAGCACTTACAGAGTGCTTCCTACAGACACAGTTTGAATGATTCCAATTCTCCTTATGGAATAAAGGATTGTGATTACACAGTTACAGACCAAACAGAGACTCAGAAAGGTGAGGTGGTCTGCCCAAGAGCACACAATCAGAAAAGGACAGAATTAGGATCTGAACACAGACACATCGGCCATCAACACTGCAGTTCTAACCATCACCTTTCAACAAGCCAGAGATGCAGAGAGACAGAAGAAAACACTGTTAGAGACAGAGGTGGAGAGAGAAAGAAATGGGAAGGGGGGAAGGGAGAGGTAGAGGGAAAGAGAGGAAGAGAGGAGTGAGGAGGGGCGGGAAGGGGAGGGGAGGGGA